GAGGGGGGGGGGGGCGTACTCATTTGTTGCTTGCCGTAGTCATTTGACCATTGACCACACGTCCCTTTCGAGACGGAGCACCGTTCCTACCCCTACTAGAGGTAGGGCGGGGGGGGGAAGTGAAGGGGAAGGGAAGGCGCACGGGCGGGTGAGAAGTTGTTTTTTTAAGGGGGAGAGGGTCGGGCGCCAAATCCACATGCGCCTCTACGAGGACGTGGAGATAATTTTGCGGAAGTCGTATTTTATGCGTTACAAACATCATCAACCGGGGTAATGCCTGAGTGGTCTCCAGTAAGATTTCGTGTTGTTTCGTTTTGTTTCGGTAAGTGTTGTCGCTTTTCATGACGTCGTTTGTTTGAATGTCATTCCTGCGTTGTGCATCTCTTGCGCGAGAAAATTCGAATGTTGCAGAGAGGTCGAAGGAGATTGAAGGTTTCCAAACGCATCAATTTTACAACGTTGGGCGTGTAGGGTAAGGGTGAGCACCCTCCCCCCTGTGTCGGGGAATTTGTTCATGTCATAGGTGCGTAATGCGAGATGGAAACAGAGTTTTTTTTTTTTTCTGACCTCACGATTGTGTCTCTAGGGAGACAACAGTATTGCCTGAACGGCATCATGGCGCACACGGTCAGCTCCCACAGCCCGGGATAACCATATCGAGAATGGATCCGCGTTCAAAACGTTTTTTACGTTGTATTTGACTACGTTCGCGTCGTGAGGAGACGTTGTTTCCGAAGCATCTACGAATGCAGACGTTGGTTGGTGATAAACCCACCGACCAACAATAGCATGTGGTACTGCTGTACGTGGCTTAAAAAAATGAACTTTGGTCGTGCGCCACACGTTCTCTCTGCCTGTTGCCCNCATAACTTTGGTCGTGCGCCACACGTTCTCTCCGCCTGTTGCCCCCCCCTAGTCATCTGTACAACAATGCCACCAGAAAACAAGTGGTACTGCTGTACAAACTTTGGTCATACGCCACACGTTCTCTCCGCCTGTTGCCCCCCCCTAGTCATCTGTACAACAATGCCACCAGAAAACAAGTGGTACTGCTGTACAAACTTTGGTCATACGCCACACGTTCTCTCCGCCTGTTGCCCCCCCCTAGTCATCTGTACAACAATGCCACCAGAAAACAAGTGGTACTGCTGTACAAACTTTGGTCATACGCCACACGTTCTCTCCGCCTGTTGCCCCCCCCTAGTCATCTGTACAACAATGCCACCAGAAAACAAGTGGTACTGCTGTACAAACTTTGGTCATACGCCACACGTTCTCTCCGCCTGTTGCCCCCCCCTAGTCATCTGTACAACAATGCCACCAGAAAACAAGTGGTACTGCTGTACAAACTTTGGTCATACGCCACACGTTCTCTCCGCCTGTTGCCCCCCCCTAGTCATCTGTACAACAATGCCACCAGAAAACAAGTGGTACTGCTGTACAAACTTTGGTCATACGCCACACGTTCTCTCCGCCTGTTGCCCCCCTCTTGTCATCCGTACAAAAATGCCACCAGAAAAAATGACAAGTGGTACTGCTGTACGAGCTTTGGTCATACGCCGCACGTTCTCTCTGCCTGTTGCCCCCCCCTAGTCATCTGTAAAAAAACGCCACCATAAAAAATGACAAGTGGTACTGCTGTACGAGCTTTGGTCATACGCCGCACGTTCTCTCTGCCTGTTGCCCCCCCCTAGTCATCTGTAAAAAAACGCCACCATAAAAAATGACAAGTGGTACTGCTGTACGAGCTTTGGTCATACGCCGCACGTTCTCTCTGCCTGTTGCCCCCCCCTAGTCATCTGTAAAAAAACGCCACCATAAAAAATGACAAGTGGTACTGCTGCACAAACTTTGGTCATACGCCACACGTTCTCTCTTCGGAGGACCTGATAGCCTTGCCCCTGTGGCGGCCCTCGCCGTCGGGGGGGATAGATCAGGGGTGTGCAGCGCCGACGATGCGCCAGAGATGCCTGGGAGCATTCCGCGCCCGCTCGAACCTTCGCCGGCAGCAGCGCCGAGATGGCCCTGCTCTCTGTATCTGGCTGGGGTAGCAGCCACGCGGCGACCAGTAGCCCGTCTCTTTGTGCTGTCTGCCATGGTGTCTTGGTTTTGGAGGTGTTGACGGCGAAGGTGGTGTGTGTGTGTGTGTGGGTCGTGCTTGTTACTTGTTGGCACCAGACAAGCGGCGAGATTAATTTGGAATGTTTGGAAGACCAGCTGGTGCACGTATAAAATGAGCCGTTCGGTTCCAAATGTTTGGCGCCAAAAATTTGGAAATTTTGCAACAAAATTTTGGAACGTAAAAAACGGCCCTTTTTTTTTTTAGGTTGCAGTCAGGCCACGATGGGCTGCTGCAGCAGCAAGAGGAACCAACATGCTGCTGTAGGATACCTTGCCACCGCCCATCATTTGAGCGGCAACCACAGGATGCAACCCGACACCAGTGTACCAGTCTGTGCGTAGCCTTTCGAGCCTCAGTTGTATGGCAACCGAAGCCCGCCCGTTTCCTGGAGCATTACCGTAAATGACACAAGATACCACACCCCNACTTGTTGGCACCAGACAAGCGGCGAGATTAATTTGGAATGTTTGGAAGACCAGCTGGTGCACGTATAAAATGAGCCGTTCGGTTCCAAATGTTTGGCGCCAAAAATTTGGAAATTTTGCAACAAAATTTTGGAACGTAAAAAACGGCCCTTTTTTTTTTTAGGTTGCAGTCAGGCCACGATGGGCTGCTGCAGCAGCAAGAGGAACCAACATGCTGCTGTAGGATACCTTGCCACCGCCCATCATTTGAGCGGCAACCACAGGATGCAACCCGACACCAGTGTACCAGTCTGTGCGTAGCCTTTCGAGCCTCAGTTGTATGGCAACCGAAGCCCGCCCGTTTCCTGGAGCATTACCGTAAATGACACAAGATACCACACCCCCTTGACCGATATTCAAAGCTCGATTACTCCACGATAAAGAGGATGCACGAAAGGAACGGTGCATTTTCGGAAAGCTATCGATGAGACGGCTTCAACGCCGCCATTGTTGTCACTGTGACTCCTTTTGCTGTTGAGGAATGGGTCTTTGAAAATCGGTCCAGGGGGTGTGGTATCTTGTGTCATTTATGGTACTCTCTGTTGATGAGAGGCATGGAGAGCAATGTTTGTAGTCTACAGCACGTCATCCAGCAGTAGATATGTTTCGGGTAGATCATTGCACAAGTTTGATTTGCTGCTACTGCTGACCATTAACTGCTACTGCTGTTCGACTGCTGTTCGACTTGCCTACCCCATGTTACTGCGACGCAGGCGCGGTCCTCTTCACCGACGGCGAAAAACTGTGGAAGCGGTTCGACAAAATCCTGCGCGAAATCAAGAAATATTACAACCTGAGCATGGAGATCGTCATCAGGCCAGGAGCCCTCACGAACGCATCTTCTCCGGGGTACCGCAACAAAGGAATACTCCTCGATGTCACACACGCAGACCCACAAGCACAGGTACACTTGCGGAACGGCAGCGCGACCAGCGATGGAACCGCAGCCCAAGCATCCGAGGCGCGAAAGCGTCAGCACTATAGTCTACGCTCGTCCGGGACACGTGTCCTTTGACGAACGCAGCTTTAAACTTACCACCTTAGCCGTGGAAAGCTTTGGCCGCCTTGGAGAGGAGGGTTACGAGTTCATCGATGAACTTGCGACGCATGCCGTGGGAGGAAGGGACGGAGGAACGATGGCTCTGAAAGGAGTCTTCAAGGAACGACTTCTTCAGATCGTTTCGGTGGTTACACAGGTGGCCATATCTCGGCGAGTGCAGAGGTACAAGCTCGCATTGCGCGGGCGTCAAGACGCCGAAAACAGGCGAACAAGATCGACCTCGATCAACGCCAATGATATGGGGATAGAGGGTAGACGCATCGTAGAACGCGTTTTCGTTTGAAGTTGACGTCTTGTTTGAGAGTAGATGTGACAGATTTGCGTAGAATAGGGTAAGATGTTATCATGAACGGAGAAGAAAGGGCTTTTCCAACACGGATATGTAGCATGGATCAAAGCATGTGTTGGATATCAGCTTATTTTACAAGAGGACATCAACGCAGTAGTATTTTAGCAAGCTTACGAACGCATGTAGGATACCATGAGGATTGTCTTTGGTTTTATTTCAAATTGAAGAGGAGATATTTTTACGATGTAAGTGACAGTAGAAATAAGTCCTACATATCTATGTTTTGTACTTCGTATTTAATATTCATGTCATGTAGAGTATGAGACATCAAGTGATTCTTTTCTGAGGTACATCTGCAATTGTCAGAAGGCAAAAAAAAAAAAACTACAACCCCGTGTGGGACACGTGTGTCTGTCTGTGATCTTGTTTGTGTACGTGCTTGGAGCGGCATCAGTACAGCTGCCGCGCTGCAATTTTTGTTGTTGCGTTCCGTGCAGGGTATTGTCCTGTTCTCTTCTGGCGTGCACTGCTGTGAACGAGCAGTCGACTGCAACCACGCCCTCCCGAGGAAAACATGGTTGGAGTCAGTCGGCGGCGTAACTACTACTGTGTGTACAGTCTGTAGTGGTGAGTAGTGCACGTACCTTCCGCCACAGAAGCACCGACGAACAACTCCCGTACGTAGGCAATACTACACCCGTAGCCATTCGGCTACCCTGCCAGGGTGGGGAGATTTCACCCTGTGAAGGTCACCGTGGAAAGACTACGCTGCAGGCTTGACCCAATGGCAGGGTGGGTACCCTGCGAGGGTACTGATCCCACACCCTGTACGTACCCTGCCACTCAGGGACCCTGGCGGGGTGCACACCCTGGGAAACCCCTGTGGAGACCGTGTCAGCCAAGTGGTACTGACGGGGCCGAAAAATAGGATATTTTCGTTTCGAAATTTATTTGTTTGGTTAAAGGGCCGTTTTAAACACGCTCAAAGATTCAAAACTTTGGCTCCAAAGTTTGGACAACTTTGGATCGAAACTTTGGACACCTCCAAGATTCATTTCAAACCTGCTGTGACGTGCAAGTGTTCAAAAATACAAAAATGCACGCCGTCCGTGCTGAGGAGCTGCACTCAACACCAAACCGCCCCCACAACACCCTACACAACGCGGAAAACACCAGCCATGGCGACCAATGCGGAGCCCACGAAAACCCACAGTGGTCGACAGACCAAACCCCCGGCGAAATACAACAACAACGGGTCTCTCGGCGCCGCTGTAGGCGGCGGTGGGCTGGCGCCCACCGCGAGTCTCCTCCCTGGCTTCACCGCGTCTCGTTCGACCAGGGGGGTCGCTGTCGCCACCAACAACCAGAGCGAGGGCGGAGCTGTCAGCTCCGGTCGGGTGGCGCCCACCGTCCGTGCCTCGTCGGGCAAGGGAAAAGGCAAGGCGCTGGAGGGGGAGCAGCACCTCGATGCTGAAGTGCAAGCCATCATGATTGACTCCCGTTTTTGTTCCGACACCGGGTCCGAAGAAAAAGCAGCAAGCGATGCCGACGTGGAGGGCGGCGGCGGCAACGACGATGGCGGCAGCACCAACGAAGACAGCGACAGCGAGGAATTTAGTCTTCATAACCCTCGTCAGGGTCGGGTCCTCGGCAAGGTAGCAGGCGGAGCGGGTGCGGGCCGGTCGAGCGGATCGAGCGGATCTCGCAGCAGCTCCCCCGTCGAAGCGGGGGCGCAAAGGCTCAGACAGTTCCAACAATCGCTGAAGCGTCACCGCGGCAGGAGCTACGACCAGTGGGCGGCGTACCTGCTCAAGGAGGCCTGCGGACTGCGGAAGATCAGCGGGTACTCGAGGTCGTCAGATACGACCGCCATGGCTAAGGCGCTGACGCAGCTGGACGTGGTCATGGAAAGGGACAGCCCGTACTTCGATGATTTGGAAGACAGGGCAACAGGTAGGTGCACACCAACGAAGCAGAGAACATATTCCGCACGCCTTTTTTTCGGGTGTAGACTTATTATACATACGAAGACACTACGACACTGCTGTTGCGATGTAGGTACGAGCCTCTTCTCGCACAACAATGCTTTTATGGCACTTGTGGAGTTCCCTGGGTAGTTAAGTTGTTCACTTGCATGGTAGACAACTTTTACCATTGAAAAGCGTGAGTATGCTAGGGGCCTTCGACAGAGGGGTGGGAACAAAACCGTAAACAGACAGATGGAGTCGTTTCTTTTGGAGGGTGGGTGTGAGAGGGAGGACCGGCGTCGATGCTTGCAACTCTGATCCATGCACGTGTAGGTACGTCCGTACGACCTACGACGAGTCAGCGAGTATAAGTGAGGTAGCTTAGGTGTGAACAAGAAGCTCCAACATGCTGATGAAGAGCCGCGCCGTTCTCTATGTTGAGGTGTCACATCATAATAATGTAAAAGAGGAGAGCGACGCACGGTACCCACGTTTCTGTGTTCTTTGGGCACAGTACGATTACAATCAATACTGTACTTCGTTGGGTTTCCTCTGTAGTTCGTATCAGACAATTATAGTCAACACGACTAGATTACCAAAAAATAATTCGCGATCGTACCTTCGCCGGCACGACCCTGCCCATCCTCGTTCACTCGCGCTGTCAATGTTGTCAGGCGGAACGGCACCCTCGAAGCCACCAGCCTCGGCGGCGGAGGCGCAGCGAGTTCCACAGCACCTCATTGCGGCGCTACGTGCTGCAATCAACGCCGGCGCCTCCCCCGCGCCGACGAAGATGTACGACTGCGGCGACAAGTCGTACACGGCTGCCGCCATCATGGAGGCGATGAAGGAGGAAGATAGGCAGAATGGGGCTGACAACAGCAGCAGCATCGGACAACGGAGGAAGAGCAAGCACTGCGTACCTCGCTTCTGTGAGCTACTGATGCACCAGCAGTTCAGGAAGAGGTTCTGCGAGAGTAGGACGCAGCTGAGCAGGAGGGAGCTCGACGCCAAGCAGACGGGGACGAATCGGGATATTCATCTCGAGCTGTGGGAGGCGTTCAAGGATGAGAGTTTCGAGGTGAGGTGTTTACCTCCATTTTGTTCTGGCCCTTTTGTTTTTTCCTCGGGACTGCTGCTGCGGTGGTGTTGATCGTGCGGGCCACAGTGCTTTGTGGTGGCGCCGAATTGCGGGTTGGGGACTGTTCTTTTTTGGAATCGCTAGTTGTAGTGTTTTTGTTTGGCTTTTCCGGCATGTACCCCCGCCTCTTTTGGTCAGTCGTTTGTCTGCTTCCCTTGTACCGGAGGGTCGGTTCCCGTCTGTTGGAGTTGCGTTTTTTTTTTCGTTTTGTTCCGTTTGTTTTTTTTTTGCCTCTGTTTGCGTTTTTTTTTGGGCTAGCGTACAGCAATCGTATAGACTAGCGTGTCGATGGAAGCCGAGTGTTGATTCTGTTCCTTGTTTCTTGGACTTGATCGCTCTGCCGACCCTTGGGATCCATTTATTATGGGCACACCTTTCTGTCGAGGAGAGAAGGCCCGTGGCTACGCAACGTCAAGCGTTGGATTCTTACTGATGAGTAGTGGCACGAGGAGTTACTGGATAGACTTTTTTTTTTTGTCGTGTACTTTTGTGTGGACATAATAACAACAACCTTCGTACGTCGAAAAGCATTGGTGTTGTCAATTTCCTGAGGAGGGGGCTGAATGTTGTTTCCTTGCTGTGCCGAAGGGGTGGTGGGCGTATTCATTTGGTGAACGCCTTCGGCGAACATGGGAAAAAAAGGAAGAAACAAGAAGGGAAGGCTACGACCCCCCTAACCCCCCCCCCCATGCACATGCGCCACCCCGTTCATTACTCCGACCCCCCTCTTGCTTGGTTTCTGTCAACAACTCTGCAGGTGCCCAGTTCCTTCGCAGACGACCACCACATCGTTGGGGCCGGCATCAACCCCAACACCGTACATCAGCCGGACATCACCTTTCAGAAGTTCACGACGATGAGGACGGAGTTGTTCAAGGACCACGGGGAGATGTACTCCAACTACAAAAAGTCCGGGAGCAATGCAGAGATGTACTCTTTTTGCAAGGGTGAGTCGGATACAGTAGTCCGCCCCTAATTTTGTCTCTGTCGTGCATCAACATCGGTGCCTTGTTCATGTTGGCGGGTAGCCGAGGTGATTCTGAAGACGTCGCTTCAATGTACGAGCGCGCGTGTGTACATTACTGTTGCGTGTGTCCTCTCCCTCCTCCCAATGGGGGGGGGGGCGTTCCATCACATGTACACCATGTTATTGTAAGCATCGAGCGTTACGCCAACGCCTAAGCTGAAGCCAAAGACTCTCTGGACGTTTTTGATTGAACGTTGACAACGAGGGAGGTGCATTCTCACCGTGTCCTCCCCCCCTCCCGCCCACCCTTCGCAAATCTCCCCACAAAATACAGAAAGCTTGGACACGTACTACTTTGGGCTGACTACGGATAAGTGCCCTGACATCCTGGCGGTCTGCGACCAGATGCTCCCGGATGGCACCGCGAGCGAGAACACGGGGGTGGAGAGGGCGGGAGACAAGAAGAGCGGCACCGACGGTGCTGCCGCGGACGCCGGTAAGCGGAAGGCCGCCAAGGTAGAGTCGAAGGAGAGGAACGCGGCCGTGAGCGGCCGGGATAAGAAGCAGAAGAGGCAGGCGGATATGATTGCGAGTACGGCGAAGGCCGCGATGGAGACGATGTTACCCACACTCGGGCTGGGCACGTCCTCCGGGCCCGCGTACACAGACGCTCCAACATCATATTACGAGACCAAGGACGGGATAGAAAGCAAGGCGGCGAAAACCGACCTACGCACCAAGCTCCGCAAAGAGCTCAAGGAAATCAAGGAGGATATTCGGGTTGAGGAGGCGCGGGGGGATGCCGCTAACAAGGAAGACCTAGAGCTGTTACGAATGCAGCATTCGTCCGTAAGGGCCCAGCTTTTTGAGTTGCTGTCGACACCCGGAGGTAGTGAGGATTAGGGGATGCGACCGTGCGCGGTAGGTAGCCGGTGCCCGCGTGGGTGCGTGGTGCGCGGGAGGACGGTATCGGTTAGTGGGCGAGTAGCGCTACTCTGTTGCGGCTGTGCTGGTTCTTTGTGCTGTATGACATGTGACGGTGTACGTTTGGTCGGGTCTTGTGCCGGCCTCTTCGCTCACATATGCACTTTGAGTATTCTTCGTTGGCTGTTTGTCATTGAATTGCATTGTTATTGTGTTTTGTTTCAGTTTTGGCCCCGGGGGCAGGGTATTTGGCGTAAATATGCTCGCAACATTTTTTTTTTCCTGGTCCGCCTATTTCCAATCCTTCCTTGGTGAAGCGTTTCGATGCACAACATCTATCTCTCTCTCGGAGAAAATGCGGGGTCTTTGTTGTGGCGCTTCACCATCACTCTTCTTCAATCGGTTGTAGCGAGTGTTTGCGTTACAGGAGTAAAGGGGTGTCGTTCCCCATGTTGTTCTTGCTTTCGACTAGTAGATATGACGTGTCACGTTGTGCGGGACCCGCATTTTGTTGTTGTTGTTTTTTTTTTTTTGGTCGTGTTTACCACTGTCGCGTGGTTGTTGGTCTGATCACGTTCTGCGGCGGCTTGTTGCCATTTTCCCAGCGTCATCTGTTCACGTAGCGGGAGCTGCCTGCGACGGAGCTGCTGTCGTTTCATAGTGTTCTGGGGCTGTTGAACCATTTGGAGCTGCAGTACTCACCAAGGGGAGGGAAATGTGGCTATCTGTGTCTCCCGACGGGGTGCGTGCGTCCCATTATTTTGTGCTCTCTTTCTGTCAACATGGTTGATTCGGTGATTCTTGTGTCTTTCACTGTGTCGGTACACCAATGGTTGGCCGGTGATTTTTTCCTCCCTTCGAAGTGCATGTTCCGCTTATTTGTGTTCTCTCATCGTCTATTTGACATTGGTTGATTCAGTGATTCTCGTATATTTCACCGTCTCGATTCCTACATGCAGGTTGTTCGGTGTTTTTTTTTTGTCTTTCGTCTTAACGTCGTTGGTCCGACGCGAGGGTACAGGGTATACCGCGCGAGGCGTGTTGGCCATGGTTGGACGGCTAGCGAGGATGGGGCGACGTACTATGGTTGAGACTTCGGCATGTAGTTTGCATGTAGTTTTGTTCTTCTAGTTGTCTTTGCCTTAAACCCGTAATATTAAAGAGTACCAAAATAAAAAATAAGAAAAACCGGCGGCGGAGTGTTTTCTCTCTGCACGCCCGTTACTTGCGCACGTCTCACAACGACGCTTCAAGCATACGAATCCTGGAAGATCGAAGGGTACACTAGTGGGGTTTGGCCCACGTTCATTGCGTGGGAAAACGCTATAAACCGACAACATGAGAAGTACGCACAGCAGCAAACGAAAAACAGCAACACAACACACGCACGCCATTTGAATAACACACCCGAGAAACACGGCCGCCCACAGCCCGGTGCTTCGAAAGACAGGCGAATACACACAGCCCCCTCAACCCCCCCAGCACCCGACCGCCCCACCCTTGCCCTCTCTCACGCCCCTCCAACCACGCCGTCCGTGGCACGCTGCTCCCCCCGCCTTCATCTGTTCCAGCTTTGCTCTCCCTCCTTTCGGACGCCCTCCCTTCCAGGCACGCAATGCAGCGTGGCTTCAGCCCGCACCCAGCCGCAAACTGACAGCTCTTCACGAGTCCCGTGCGTTGTTGCGCTCCCGGTTGTACTCGGGGCGGTATTGTCGCCTGTTGTCCAGCAGCATTCTCAGCGCCATGCGGGTGGGAACGTCTCCCGACCTGGTTGGCTTCGGCAGACTGTCGCCGGACGTTTGGAAACTTTCCGGCAGCGTCCTCTCTGTCGTCAAGGCGGGACGGTCGCGACCGGACTCCCCGTCTTCCTCTGTCAGGTGCACCGGCGTCACTTGCTCGTCGCGCAGGTAGTTGTGGAGACGAAAGAGGGCGGTGATGAGGGCGCTGCGACCGGCGAACTGAACCCGCAGTGGTCTCCACAAAATCCCCCACTGCCCAACGAGGATACCGAAAGCTTGCTCGATCTTCACTCGCAGTTGACTCAGGTAGAAGTTGTAAGCGTCTTGGTCTCGTGGCAGCAACTTCCCCGGGTACGGCGTGAGGAGTTGATCGCTGAGAGGGTATGCCGCATCGCCCAACATGTAGTACCCAGGCGGTAGGCGCGCGACCGCGCGTGATAGCTCCGAACGATTCCATGCCGTCCAGTCGTTCGTCGCGCCCGCCGAAATGGCGGACATACTGCAAAAACGGTAGTTCGCATCGCACGTCGCCTGGATGTTCAACCCGTACCCGCTCTTGTTCCCAGAAAAGTAGGAGAGCACGTTGGGGGTGTCGACCGGAGACGGAGCGATCGTCTTAACGAACAAGCCGTCCCCGGCAGCGACACAACCGGAGATTGCGCCGCCGGTGCTTTTCGCCTGCCAGGAACACATGGGTGTTGCGGAAACAACGATGTCGGCAAGGGGCGACAAGAGAGTCGGCGGAGGCGGAAGATGGGGCGAGGGCCATCAGCGATCCTTAGAACATTTTCCAGCTAACATTTTTAGGTCTCCAATTATTATCCCACGCACACACCCAAAGAGCGCTAGACGCTTCGTGCATGAGCTACCCCCGCCTGAATAGACATTTGAATGGGCACACGTTCTTTCGTTTTTCGGAGGGTCTCCGTATGGTTGTTGATCTGCATAGTAACGAGAGGGGGGCCGAGCGTACACAGCAGCAGTGTGTATGTTGCTGCCCGCCCAGAAAGGACACGAGCATTATTTTTTACAAAATCGATCCATGCATGCCCCGATCTTTTTTTCTGCGTTCACCGGGAAAGAAGCTGTTTCACCAGGCTTGTGTCTATCCAACACATGGAACACTCAAGAGGGGGTCTTGTGACTACTAACAGCAGCAGTAGTTGGGTATGCCCGACGCAGTCATGAGACGTTCATTCAATGTACGGCGTAGACTCACACAGGAAGGCCCATAGTACGGGCGCTTAGAGGAGAGTTTTATGGGCGGCGAGAGGAAAGAACCCCACCGGAACAAGGATGGAGGGTGGGGTGGGCGGAAGCGAAGCCACCCGGGAGGAGGAGGAGCGGCACCAACGTTCGTTCCCCACGAAAGACACCACACACACCACACCACACACACATTAAACGCCTATACACACCTCCCACTCCTTCGCTTGCCGGGCGCATTCCTCCACTGTTTGAGGGAAGAAGAACGGTCCGACTTCCGGCGTGTTGTTAATAGCATCCACCACCTCCCAGAGGACGTGAAAGACAGTCTCCTTGGCGATGCCGAACAGCACCGCTACATCCATATATGATGCCCCCGCTAGAATCCGCAAAGCAACCGCGAGACGATGTTTTACCGGCACAGCTCCGTGGCGCGTGCGCTTCCCTGTAACCCATGAAGCAATGTACAAACAATGGCAGCACCACAGCTAGCATAAGATACCCATTTGTCGCGAAGTGTCAAGCGGGCGGCGAAGTGATGGTGTGCGTTGATAATTTGTTCCAGGGTCGTGGAGGTGCTGTGTTGCACCAAAAGTAAAAGTTTGTCCGGGAAGCATCACCATGAGACAGGCAGCAACACAGCATGGACCTCAGCTTCAAACATCGCAGAACACAGCAGTGAAGCGCTCTCTCTCTCTCTCTCTCTCTCTCTCTCTCTCTCTCTCTCTCACCCTCTCTCTCCCTTTCTCTCTGTCCCTAACCCTAACCCTATGTCTCTCTCTCCGTCGCTCCTCTCACTCACTTGCGTAGAAGTCGTTGCGCTCAAGGATTGGTCGTAGCAGGTCGGCAAGCTTGTCGAAGCAGCCCTCCTCCATGCGATACGTGCGTCTGAAAACCTTCCGGCGCCTCAAGTCTCTCACATGCTCGTCCCAGTCCAAGCGCCGCGGCTCATGGACAGGTAGCCGTGCCTTTGCCTTGGGGTTTAGGGCGTGAAAGACCGTCGCCGCGACAACAAAAGCAGTAGCCACCAGCGCAACGAGCAGCTTCTTCTCCGCAACCTCAGCGGTTGTTGTTGTGTGCCTCAGGCGTGCCGGCGGGCGAGGACAGGCCGCCGACTCTGCTGGAGCGGGCCGCTTTCTACGGCCAGACATCACCCAAGACAACCCTAGCTGACCTCCTGCTGCGAAGGGAGCTCGTGGTTTGACACTTGCAGCTCCCACGCGCTTCCGCAGAAAGGTTTTGACATGTGTCGAAAGTACCCTCAAAACTTTCGACGCTAACGCGTCCAAATTTTTGGGCCAGATTTCTTTCCAAACTTTTGGACATTTTCTCGACATCACGCCTGCTTGCAGGCACGAAAGTTTCGACATCTTCCAAACTTTTGAGCAAAAGTTTGGATTTTTGAGCGTGTTTAAAACGGCCCTTTCTTGAGCCCGTTTTGCCCCCCCCTCTAAACAGCTTTTTTTGAAAAACAAAAAGCGTCCCTATCGGGCCACTCACTTCTCTTAAAAAAAAAACTATTAAAAAAAAATCGGAAGGACAGATAGATGAGATAGAAGAGCTGATGCAGTGCACCTTTATCTAGGCGGGTGTGGGAAGCGTCCCCCTTTATTTTTGTTTTTGTTTTACTTTGATCGATGTCCGAGGAGGGCTCTTTTCTCGAACGGTCGGTGCGGTACCTGTTATTTTCTTTCTGTCATGTTTTTTTCTTTGTATGTCCGAGTGGCTTGTACCCTATTTTTGTTTTGTTTCCCCGCAGCGTCGTATGTTGTGCCGGGTTTTGAGACCACGGGCTCCCGTCCCCATTTTTTGTGGACTAAATATAGAGCTAATGTGAGAAACAACAACATACCTCAGTTTGACGAAACATGGTGGAACCCCCGCCCCCCCCCCCCCCCCCCCCCCCCCCCCCCCCCCCCCCCCCCCCCCCCCCCCCCCCCCCCCCCCCCC